GGAAGAACTTTGGTCAGAGAAGCTTCTCTTTGCAGAGACTGGTAGCTGATCAATGTACCAAATGTAGTAGTAGATAGGTCATCTGTACCAACTTCTCACTATGTAAAGCTCAGGGAACTTGGAAGAAAGTGGGACAGAAAGAATACAAGAATGTAGAGGGCAGGAGAGCTGTGAAATTATGACTTCAGAATTTGGCATGATTGCTGCATTCATAAAGGCACAAAGATTGTGATTACCAAGATCAAGCTAGTGAACATTACATCATGGATGACAAAGGAATTTTTGTTTTCCTCCATTCCAAGAAGAATTTTTGTCATTGATGATGCTGAAGGAAGGGGGCCGTACTCTTTAGTGATATAGTAGGTTTTTCTCAGTCTCAGTGGATAGTTCTATACTCATGTACATATAGACAGGACTAACTGGATTTCAGTTTATTAGTAACAAAAACAAACAAAAAAAGGAAATGTGGAGTTGAGATGGAGATGGAGTGAACTGGTACTAAGGAAAGGTCAAAAATGTGTGGTGGATGATATGATCAAGATTAGGTGCAAATGTATAAAGTTTTCAGGCAAAAATATATCATTTATAAAGAAAACAGAGCAGCATAAATACAGACACAAGGACACATACATGCATGTATCTAAAAATTAAACTTCTTTAAATAATCTACACTTATTTGTAAATACACACATCCTTAAAATAAAATAAAACTTTTAAAAAGATACAAAAGCAAAGTTTCACTGTTAAAATTTGTAAGAGTCAATTTTATTATTTATTTTACCTTTTTAAGATCATGAAATAATTATATCATTCTCCCTTCCTTTCCCATATCCCAAGCTATCCTATATATCATTCTTGTTCTCTTTCAAATTTATAGCCTCTTTATTTATTACTTGTCATTACATATATTACATGCATTATAAATGTATACACACATATAGAGATATAGATATATACATACATATTCTTATATACATACATAGAACATATTCAATCTGTACAGTGTTACTTAAATGCAACTTTTCAGGGCTGAGATTTTGCTATTAAATAACATTTTGTTGTGCTCCTCTCTGAGGAAGACTTTTTCTCAGACTCTGGCTGCAATAGTGACAACGGGTCTCTAATTGGACTTACCATTCACTTCACAAGAGGGAAATCATACCTGATCCTGGAAATGTACCCATCAACCTAAAAGTAGTGAAGTCATGGATCTTGAATGAGAACCTACAATGTCCACTTTACTAGACCACCATAATCGCTAAATGCATTCTAATATCTGTCCTTATATGCACAGGTAAACCCTCATCACTCATCATGAAAACTCCCATTTAAAATAGATTAATACCATGACAGAAAACCATAGCAAATCTTATTGCAGAGTATTGAACCTGGACCCAACAGATACAGCTATAAGATGGGATTTTTACACTGACCATTCAAAGGAAGTTTTTAACTGAAAACACCATCTTAGTGAGACTGGTAATCTTAAGGTATAAATAAAAACTCCTTTTTATCACAGTTAGTTCAGTTTAAAAACTCAGCATGTTTTACCCCATGGTGAAGTGTATTTCTTTATTCTTCGTATTACTAAATGTTATTGTTGAGAGATATTCTGTTTTATTTCACAACTACCAAATATGCCTTGCTACATACTGCTTAAATATGAGCTTCATAGAATACAAATAAACAGTGTCGTTTTTAAAATAACAATAGCTGTCGCTTTCACAAGAAAGCAGTCTTTAATTTATCAAGGTTTTAACAGAGAATGCAAAGACACACCTAAACAAGTCCAATATCAAATATGTTCTTGGAGAGTAACTATGGTTAGTTTCTGCGAAGTTCTAATGATTACTGGTAAAGAAGAACAATGTTGCCATTAAGTGGATGCATGACCAGGAGATGAAATGACAACTTTGAAAAGTCCTTAGATAATTATAAAGTATAACGAAAGATGAAATATGATCAATATTTTGGTCAATGACAGTGGGGACTAAATGAAGATGAAAAGTTGAATTAACCCTAACAAAATTCTGGAGAAAGAAGGAAATAATTGTGTATGTATATGGGGAAAAGATTTCAAAGGTAGAAGTTAGTAGATCACAAGCAATGAAGAAGAAGAATGAGGAAGGGAGGATAGGGCAGCAGAATAAAGACAGCTATATTTCCACTCATCAGGAAACTTCAAGTCAGAGATACTACAGCAAGTAGCATTTTTTAGCCTAGCTTTACAGAAATGAGGAGAATCCAAAGGAAAAAAATTCAAAATGTCAACTGAAAGAACAGGTGCACCACAAGTTATTTCAGTCACCTTTACAAAATTGTAATGAGTTTTATGAGCCTAAAAAGAATAACAGCAACATTAGGACAATGTCTTCCAATTGATTTCTACAGTATGGAGAAAGATCTACTCCATACTGGTAGGGCATTGCATTCATGGTCCTAGGATGTATTTCTAGAACAACATGGAAAGTATCATAATAATATATCTTTTCTATATATGTTTATTTGCACTATATTAATGGGTGGTTGGTTAAAAACACTTATTTGTTGGTATTATTCTGCTAAAGTAAAATAGCAATAAAATGATTCCTATTGATATTCTGCTGTACCTATAGTTCAGTGTCTTTCTTATCCCACATCAAAGAAGGTTCTTCTTGAAGTAGATAGATGGGAACTAACACAGCCTCACAAATTAAAAATGTGAAGAGAGTTTGGAGTACTCAGTCTTAAATGGAGTATCCCCATGAAACCCCTTCTCCAGGCTTAGTGATCTATGGAAAGGGAAGGCAGAAAGATTATAAGAGTCAGATGATGCCAAGGAAACAGTGTCTTCCAGACACAATAGGGTTGACACACATGAGAATTAACAAAAAGAGTAGCAACACCTGCAGATCCTGAACAGGTTTTAACAAGTGGAGTCCCTGCACTAGGAAGAGTAGTGGACACCAGGTCTCAACCCAAACCAAGAAGCTACCTGAAATTGATATTCTGGCAAAATGAAGAGCAATTTTCTCCAAAAGTTTCAATGGGCAAGTAAATCACATTCCAGGATAGCCTCCATTTGTGTAGTAATTGTAGAGTATAAAAAGAACTTGACGGTATTTTCATGGATGTTTTGTATCATTCTCCTTATTTTGGCAATTTTATTTTTTTGCTTTTTAGGCTTTTGTACAGTTTTGGAATTTGTGTTTTTTGCATTTGCTTGCTCTTTGAAAGAGGTAAGGAGAATCCTTGGGAATTATGGCAGGGGAAAACATGACTTAAATATATGAATACATTTGAATATTTTGAAAATGTGATATTTTCTAAAAATATATGAACTTATAGATAATTGAGAGCTGGACATTTTCAACATAGAAAACCTGCATAGAATTTTTTTCTGTATTAAATGAATGAATATTTCTTTAAAATAATTTTGAAGCTGGTAAATTAAAAAATGAGAAACCTGTTGCATTTCAGTAGCAAATCTCACATTCTGAAATCTTCACTGTAATTTTGAAGAGTTTTAGGCAATTAGATAATGCAGTGCTGAAGTTCATTTATTACATATAGAACTAGAAACAGTAATATTTTATAGGTTTATAATTATTTCTATTCTTTGAGAAATTCCATATACATACCAATGAAAGAGGATCATACCCATGCTCCATTGTTGCCTGCAAGTCACCCAGAAATCCCTTCCACATTGCTTTTCTAGCTTCTTGTCTTCTTTCTTTTTATTGATAATACTTTAATTCCAATTTATTTTGGCTATATATACATAGGTATGAGGCCCACAACAGGAACATGAGAAATCTACCAGTGGCCACACTCTCATAAAGAATGATTCCTCCTTCTCTAAAGTTATCATTTGCTAACAGCTCCTCAGTGAGGAAAGTCTAGAGATCACTTTCATCACCTATGCTGGGATTTGAGATGGCTTAGTGCTGTGCTAATAGACATATCTGCTGTGAGTCATGTGTGTGAGCATAATCTCATGTCCATAAGACAGCATTTCACATCACCCCTCCCCATCAACCTGCTATTACATTCTTTCTTCAACCTCTTCTGTACTTTCTTGGTAGTTGGTAACAGGTATGTAATAGACATGTCTCAATTAGAATTGAGCTTTCACAGCTGTCCTAGTCTCAACACTTTGGCCAGTTAAGGGTTTCTTCATCTATCACTGCTCATTGCAAAAACATGTCTCTCACCAAGGGTGAAAGTACTTCATGTATATAGGCATGAATATAAATATTTAGAATGCAATTTACCAATATGACAATTTACAAAACAGTGTGCGTAATCATAGGTCCAATAATAGGAAATTCTTCAGTAAAGAAAAGTGAGTAGAAATTGAATTAGCAACCCCTAAAGCTAAAATAAGCAGAATCAATCTCCAATAGATTAGAATATCTCCAAGTCAAATTCAATAAGCACATGCTTCTCCCCAAATACATCTCCCATACTCCAGGTGTGCTCCCTTTTCACTTGAGTTAAAAGACTATACAGCAACTCCATTTCCCTCCCCATCAGATGTCCATCTTTCCACTTGGAAAAGTGTTACTCATTTTAAATCCTAGTCTGAACTTTAACTTCTGGATCAGAAATGAAATTCTCTTTGTACCTTCATCCCCATCTTTTGGACGTGCATTTTTGCAGCCTGTTCCTTGGAGGATGCTCTTATGACTTTGTGATATAATCCATGGAGGGACTGAGACAATGTCATAACATATCTTTTGGTATTTCAGCAACATTTTTTTTGAATTTTTTTCAGATTTTTTTATTTGAGTTAGAAACATGATTGTTTTACATGACAATCCCAGTGGGACCTCCCTCACATCCTCCCCTACCACGACCCGTCCTCAACTAAAACCCTACCTATCACATCCTTTCTGCTACCCCTGAATGGAATGGTGATGCCTTCCATAGAGTTTCATCAGAATCTATTCTATCCTTTAGGATAGGGCCTAGGCCCACCCCCATGTGTCTTGGCTTAGGGAGCATTCCTCTATATGGAATTTTTTTTTTGAGAAACAGCAGAGAAACTGTTTAATTTGGAGAGTAGGGGTTACATTTGCAGAAGGCAGATTCTGTGTTAACAGACACACATTGTGAAGCTGGTCTGACAAAGCAAAGGGAGGTCTCTGGACTCCCCATTTCATACCCAGTCAGGGCCACAGCAAAGCTCAGATCTGAATCATCAATGTTCAACACGCTGTCATCTCAAGAATTCTTATCCAGGGGATGTCAAAGAGTGAACATTCTGCCAATCTCCAAATCCACGACAAAGGAAATGGGAGCAGTTCAGCCAACGAAGTTCGTGAAGACAAGGTGCAGGATAGTGCTGGCAAAGAGGAAATCAGCAAAGGCTGGATCTGGAGAGATGCCTTGGAAATCTGCCTTTGTCTGGAGTTTGATCAGTATTCTCAAGCAAACTGCTAGAATGAAGCTGTCCACACAGAAGATGAAGCCGGAGAGGAAAGAGTTGAAGGGGAAGGTGTGTCGTGACCCAGCATGTCTCAGCCTTACTCCATGGTGTTCTACCTGAGTGAGGGTGTGTGGACCTGGAAGCTTCGAGGAACCCAATAAAGACCAAACACAGGCATCTTGTCATCTTCAGAGAGCTCTCAGTTCCATGTTGTGGAACTAGAGTCATTTCTTTATTAGCCATCTTTTCTGGTTTCTCTTAACCATCTTGCTAATACTATAAGTCAACCATTTCTCTCTTTGTTCTCCTCTCTCCTCTCATCGCTCGCCCTCTTTGCTCCTAACCTTCTGTGTTCATATGTTACTCACATACCTCTCCTCTCCCTGCCCAGATGCAGGCCTATACAGATGCTTAGGTGCATAGATATGCAAATAAGGAGGCATATTATCCTGAGGCCATGGTAAACAAAAGTATCCCTGCTGACATTAACAATACAATAGTGGGCGGAGTTTCCTGGCACCACCGCTGTTTATGGTGGCCAGAACCTAGGACCCAATATTCGGTCCCCCACAAAGGTGCCCACGAGGAGACAGTAGACAAATTGCAGTGCCTGTCAGCAGTATATAAAGGAGATAGGCATCCAGCAACTTCAGCTGCTGAGGAGTGGAGCTCAAGTACTCCTCTAGGAACCACGAGATGACCGACACTACCGAGGCCGACATCATGAACACTGGACACTTCGGATACCAGACGGGCACCTCAGCCACTTTTTTATTCCTACTCAAAAGTCAGTTTTAAATACTCTTTGTGAACGAAATCAGCCACTGTTAAGAAAGATATGGCAGATTCAGAATAAGTGCCAACTTTTCTGCCATTTGCAGAATCTTGATTCTTAAAAAGACACGCAAACAGAAGTAGAACATTAGGAAAAGGATCAGGAACAGGGCATGATGCACACGGCAGAGTGCATCAGATGTTGTGCTCAAAGCAAATGATATGCATTATGAAAATGTCATAATTAATTGTAGGACTTTATACCGTTAATGCTCCCTAAGAGAAACTCCTACTTTTATGCCTAGATATTACTTCCATCTGCTGTTTCTCCTTTCATTACCAACATGTCACTTTTTTATAACAGTTAATTCCTAACATTTTGAAACAAATTGACATTACTGACATTGTTAGATATATGAACAGAACACAAACAGACCCACCATAAAATGTTGCAAAAGGAATCTTAACAATAGTAGCAGTACCATATGCTTATGAGTATTCTCTGGTATAGTTGCTGCTCTCTCTAGAGCATAGCTATAGCTGCATGTTCCAACATAAAAAATAACAAATAAATTAAAAATAACTTTAAACAAACATTTTAACTAAGTATTTCATTAAGTTTACATTTGTTTTGACCTAACATTTATTAAAACATAAGAATTCAGAGGAGTAGTGTTGCCACACTCTGTGGCTGGATGTGAAGGACCAGGAGAGGGCAGGAGAAGTGATGTGTGAATTCTCAGGATCAAAACTCAGCAAGAGAACTCCATCAGTCCACAGTGCTCTTTCAGAGACAGAAGAAGACTGACTCCACATGCTGTCTTCCTAGTGAAAATTCTTTATATGGTATCCTGTTATATATTAGAAGGTATTCTTTTACTCCCTAAAGCCATTCCAAAATTTGTCCACAATTTTTCCTAGATAATTTTGTTAAAAAATCAAATGTACACCTGTGATATTTGGTTAAGGACAAATATACTACCTAATAAATAATATTTCAAATATTCTACATACTGAATATATATCATATGATATTTAATTCAGGTTTAGCATATCCTTCTTCTCAAACATTTATAATTTGTTGGAGATATCTGAAGAAATGTTTCTAGCTTTTTGAAAAATACAGAACAATTTATTGTAACAAACTACTGTGAGATCACAAATCGGGACCTTTATGTATCTGTAACTATATCCAGTAGCTAATGGAAGCAGAAGCAGACACCGACATCTAAACACTGAGCTGAACTCTGTAATCCAGTTGCAGAAAGGGAGGAGTGATGAGCAAAATGGTCAAGACCAGGCTGGAGGAACCCACAGAAACAACTGACTTGAACAAAGGGCAGCTTATGGACGCCAGGCTGATAGCCAAGAAACCAGCATAGGACTGTTCTAGATCCCCTGAACAAGGATGTCAGTTTGGAGGTCTGGGCAATCTACAGGGCCTCTGGTAGTGGATCAGTATTTATCCCTAGTACATGAATGGATTTGGGGAGCTCACATCACATAGAGGGATGCTCTCTAAGCCTAGACATATGGGGGAGGATCTAGGCCATGCTCCAAATGATATGACAGACTTTGAAGATCCCCCGTGGAAGACCTCAACCTCCCTGGGGAGCAGAAAGGGGATGTAATAGGGGGGTCCGTGGGGGCAGGGTAGGAGAGAAGGGAGAGGGACTGGGATTGAGCCTTTCCCCATGAATCTAGGTTGAGAGAGTGTCCCTCCATGGGGAATGGGCTCCCAGATTCAATTTGTACAGTAAGGATAAACACTGCTTCCACTGCCAGAGGCCCCATAGATTGCACAGGCCTCTTAACTGACACCCAAGTTCAGGGGGGTCTGGTTAGGTCATATGATGGTTCCTCAGCTTTCAGACTGAGGTCCTTGAGCTCCCACTTGCTCAGGTCAACTGTTTCTGTGGGTTGTCCTAGCTTGTTCTTGACCCCTTTGCCCATCTAGTGGTTGTATTTTGAACATTTATTTTACCACAAATGAATGCCACCTATTTGAAACTATTTCAACATTTTAAAATTTATATGTGTTCCAAACACTGTATAATATCACAGTAATGTGTACCAATTGTGGCTTTATTAGTTAAAATCATAATCTATTCAACAAACATTTAAATTAATAAGTTATGTACCAAGATAGAATATGTGAAACAGTATAAAAAGTATCACCTACAATTCAATATCATTTAATTAAAGTTTAAAACTGAAGAAAAAATATTAAAACTCTACCACCATGAGAGATTAGCTTTACACTTTCTTTCATCCACATTAAATTTAAAAGAGATTCTTCCCTCCTACAACATATTCTGATTATAGTTTACCCTCCATTCACTCCTTCCAAGTTCTCACCCCACCTCCTTTCTAGATGTATTCCCTTTCTCTCTCTCATACAATACCATGAAGCAAAACTTTTATATCAATAATGGACATGGACACCCAGGAAGAGGAATAGAGTCCTAGGAGTAGGCAAAAGAGTCAGAGACCCACTTGTGCTTCTAGTCAGGAGTTCCATAAAAATACTAAGATAATAGCTATAATACATACTCCGAGAACCTGGTGTAAACTCATGTATGCCTTGTGCTTTCTGCTTTAGTCACTGTGAGCTCATTGCACCTTGCTTATTTGATTTAGAAGGCCCTGTTCTCCTGGTGTCATCTGCCCCTCTGAATTTTAAAATCATCATGAAACCTCTTCTGAGGTATGATTCAAGCTCTGATAGAAGAAACTTGATCTAGACCTCCAATTTGGACTCTCTCTCTCCCCAAATGCCTGGCTGTTTCTACATCTGTTCCCATCTGCTGCTGGAGAAAGCCTCTCTGATAATACTACACAAGGCATGGATCATGTAGTGTAACAGAATATAATTTAGAATCAATTTATTGAGAATTTTTTAGATCAGTCATGCTTGCTTTTACCCTAGTCTTTGGGAAATCTGCTGTCTGGATTTTGGTTGTTCAAGCAATGTTGACTTTGGGTTCCTTCTTGTGAAATGGGCCTTAATTTAAATCAGATATTTGTTGGCTGTATCTACTATCTGGATGTAGGGACAAGACAAAATAAAGATCAAAGGTTTTGTACCTGGGATGGTGCCCACATTTCTTTTCTGGTAACCTGTAGAGTACCTTCCTGCAGCATAGGCACTATGACACATGGTGAAAATTCCATGTAGGTACCAGTTGGAATCCTTCATGTTCAACGAGTTGTTTGGGTGTTGTCCTCAGCCATATGGCCCTGATGTCAGTTTATGAAGAGCAATTCTTTATCTTGGAATCAGCCATGATTGTTTGGGTGTTTCCATGTGAACCACCTTATCCAAAAACTAAAGTAGCATCTTGGACTTTGCTACTGGAAATCATGCCTGAATACGAGTGATGGTCAGGTGAGAATCTTCAAGTCCCACTGCTAAGAATTCTCATTAGGATCACATTCATAAATTTCAGTAAGTTTTCATTGTACTATGTTATGATATTTTGTTTGTATTCTGACAAATAAAGTTTGCGTGCAGATCAGTGACTGTCTGTGAACCTAACTAAAAGCAAAAATCCACATGTGTTCAAAGCTGTGAGGATTCAAGCACCACACTGAATATACTTTATATATTCATAAAAATAGGTGTACACATATGTATAAATAATGCCTGACACATATGCTCACACCAACAAAATACATACATACACATTTACTTATATATGTTTTCTATCTATGTCATCTAACATACGCAATATATATGGTTGTATTACACATCTGTACATATAAATTATGAATACTATATGTAAATGCTAATTTTAAACTGCATATGCATTTTAGGTTATTAAAAATGACCCATTTTATATCCCAAAATATACTAATATTATACATCATCAGAAAATTCTCATATTGCCTTGAAATTTAATAAGGAGCATGTTGATAAAATTATTTTAATTTGTGATATTTAAGAAATTCTTCTCCCAGATTCCATAGACTGTGTAACAGATTCATAGCTGAGACAGTATTCTTGAGAGTATCTGTGATTCTCAACAGTGCAGTTTAATAACCTAGTAGCTTTCACAGTGCTATCACCCACAGTGAACTGCAGGCCAATAAAGAATGCCTCTCTAAGAGAGGTGATTCAGGCATGCCACCAATGACTGAAAATTACAGTACAAGTGACAACTGCCTTCATTTAGGTGGGATATAATAGCTGGTAATGCAGCACAGCCCACCACAAATCTGCAGGGTTTTCATGAATAAGCGAAAATGTATTTCCATTTGGCTTGCTTTGAAGTAGAATGATATCTTGATCTCACTAAAATTCTACTTCATCATGGGACATTGCATTAATAATTGAGGAGTAATCCAGGGAATGGCTGTTCCTTCCAGATGTGCTATAAATACTTGATGTGTTGATGTTTCTTGTGCTTCCAGTTACAGTGCCACAGAGATACTGAGCAGATTACCCATCTCCGTTAATGTGAACTGGAAACAACAGACTCTTCCAACCAAAAAGGGAGTAAATACAATAGATCTGGACTCTACATGTGAGAAGAGATTTATTAAGAAGAAGTATGCATGTTATCACAGAAATCTTTTTATTCATTGGAATTTTAGGCAACAATAATCCTCCACATTATATCTTCATATTGTACATTTTAATATGGAGATAAAGATGTTTAAAAGGTGCCACTTTAATATAATAATTTAAAAAACCTGTTTCCAAAGCAAATGCATAAAGTTTTTATCTTATTTGAGTGAGGGTATAAAGTAGAAATAAGATGCATCTAGAAATTTTTCATGATTGCAGTTCATTTGTAGAATATAGACATAGCAAATGCCTTATTGTCATAATAAGTATTGCTTATACATTGGGATCAGCTGGTGAGCTTTTTAAAAAGAACTAATAACTTTGACTAGATCTAGAAATTCTAACCTGACAATTTAGGCCCAAGAATTTTTTTAATGCACACCATTCTATTATAAACATTAATTTAAATTGGCATATACAGATATTTGGTTACCAATAATTTGAATGAAAAACCTGTTCACCTACATGAATTGTTCTACTAGCACATATTGTGTCTGGCATTGACTATGGAACTCCAAAGGTGGTCCCAGGCAGTAGTTTGATGTCTCTATTCTGTATCAGTTCCCACCAAGAGTTAACTTAAGCCTTCACTACAAGACTAACAAGATTAAGCCCAGTGATGCAGTTCTAAGGAAGCAAGAGCCTGAAAGAATTTATAAGAGAGAGGAGTTCAAAATTTATTTGTTCTAAAAATCATGTGCTGTTCAAATTAGGAGGAAATCTGGAGAAATTGTAGTTGCAGTAGTAATGAGATGGACAGAGAGGGCAGAGTGTGGGGTATAATTTAGCAGCTTTGGGTTGGGCAGTCTTGGTATTAGTAAGAGTTATATCCAGTAACAACTAAACCCCTTATTCTAGCAATGTGTATTTCCTGTTGGACACTTTTCCTGATATTCTCCTTAAATACATATGCCTTAAAAATCTGGTTCTTTATGATGTAACATCTGTATCTGTAATAAATGTCAATACAAAAAGATAATTGACATTTCATTTGTTAAAAGCATCACATGGGCAGTCTACTGGGGCCTCTAGTAGTGGAACAGTATTTATCCCTAGTGTACTAATGGGCATTGGGAGTCCATTCCCCATAGAGGGATACTCTCTCAGCCTAGACACAAGGGGGAAGGACCAAGGCCCCACCCCAAATGATATGACAAACTTTTAACATTCCCCCATGGAAGACCTCACCATACCTGGGGAGCAGAAAGGGGATGGGATAGGGGGCTGGTGGGGTGGCGGGGGAGGAGCGGAGGGAGAGGGAACTGGGATTGACATTTAAACAAGATTGTTTCTAATTTAAATTAAAAAAGGAAATAAAAATCAAAATCTGACATTTCCATCAGCAATGAAAATGTTTTTAATTTGTTTTTTGGTTTTTCGAGACAGGGTTTCTCTGTGTAGCTGTGGAGCCTATCCTGGCACTCGCTCTGAAGACCAGGCTGGCCTCGAACTCACAGAGATCTTCCTGCCTCCACCTCCCGAGTGCTGGGATTAAAGGCATGCGCCACCAACGCCTGGCCAGCTATGAAATTTTTAACAATGATTTTTATTATTTGTCTGCTATAGCTTCTTGTCCTTATTATTACAAAGCTTGTTATATGATATAAGGAACTGGTGTCATACTCACCTGTTAATATCGTTTTCTATGTCCACTCATTCTTCCCATATATGGAACACTCATATATTCATTCAGGGAAAAATAAATGCATGTTTTGAGATGATGGAGATGTTCCTGTGAACATTCCAGAAAGATTTCTGGTCTTATATTCTTGGGTTTCTATTAAGTAGGAAAACATAATAAAGTTAAATTATAAAAATATGAAAAGTTGAAAAATAAAAATTCACAATGGTAAGCAGTATTAACTTTTTTAAAAGGAGCCAGTATTATTAATATCCATTATCACTAATACTAATTTATAATTTTTTTCATTTTCTTTCCTAAGCAAAATGATTGAAGCCATTCTTTTTAAAGTAGCCATTATTCATTTTATTTCTCTTGCTTCAAAGTAAAACAAACACAAATCTGTGCATGCCACAGTATGTCTGAGAACCAAATTCCATCCAACTCTCATTCCTCTGAAACCATCATTCCCTGCCCCTTTGATTTATATAATTCTATAATTATGGTCTTTCTCAACCAAAAGCCTCTGTTTTTTGTTTTTTTTTTTTGATAATAAAATTGGATCATTTCATAATATTAATTGGCCAATTTTTATTCCCCAATATTGAAGTTCTTTGCAATTTTTGTTGTTGTATTTTGTAAGAAAACTTGAGATACACAAGTGCACATGCACATATACATCAAAATGAATTGCAATATTGGAGGAATGTCAGGGGACAATGATGGAACACTGCTTTTATCGTCTATACACCAATTACAAGCTTTCATCACACAGTATTCCTTTAAGCAAAATTTAATTCACCATACTGTATCAAGAGCCTGTCTATAGTGCCACTAGGATATTTTCTTGTGTTTCTGCCATCAGCTTCACTATTCTTGACAACTCTTTCCTGTTGGCTGAAGAATACTTTTTATTTAACTACCTTTAAAGCAGTCATAATGGTTGAAGGAAGTATGACAACCTCATTGAACTAAAATATTCTCCTTAGCAATTATTAATGGTTCACTTTAATGAAAAAGTTTAGTCATTTTCTCCTTCTAGTACTGCCTTGCATTTCATCACAGTCAGTATTACTATTAAAAGAGCATCTTTTTTTAACCACGAGGCACATGGTGAAATATTTCACTTGATCCCTCCATGCAGAAAATATTCCAGTGATTTTGATGTAGGAAGCTAAAGCAAGTTCAATATCGGGATCTAAGTCTGATGAGTAGATAAAAGTTACATGATTTTCTTCTTTTGGGGAAGAGGTCCACAATGAACCTTAAATGTCTCCTATTATCTATGCTGACCAATCACAGATTTCTTCTTTTTGGGTCAGAAAAATTTTTGTAATTATGCAGATAGCCAATTATCTGACAAGAAATGTCAGATTGTCCCTCCTAAGTGTGGGAAGGTTGAACTGGGAGCTGTTGACTATAGTTTCTTGCTAGCTCACATGTACAGAGCTCCTGATCTGACCCTGTGATTCTCCTCTATTAAGCATTCTACTACACATATGTCTGAAATCTGTTCCCATATGACACTGAAAAGGAATTGGAATTGAGAGAGCACATAAAAGCCTTCTGATCTCAGTTACTGCTTTTGCAGAGGATAACAGTATTTTCTGTCTGTGTTTCAGGACTTTCACATTCTTCTGTCATCATTTCGACACTGTGGCAGGCTAAACAGCTTACAAGTTAGCTACATGATCACAGAATGCTCAGTTGGTAATGCTTATCGAAACTCTCTTGTACCAATCCTTTTACAAATAAAGGAAGAAACATTCATTCTACAAAGAAAAATAAATCACATTTAAAAAGAACATTGATGCCTGCTTTAGTATAGAAGAAAATGGATACTTTTTTCTTTAAATAGAAAATAGTATTTTCATTAATGCATTTAGCTAGCTATCCTCTTGAGACTCATGCTATAGGATTTATTGAACCATTCTTCATATTCATGTTATAGTTAGGAGAATAATAATCATGTATTTAAAAATTATATTGGTCTGAGTAAAGCATCAGTTAATGAGCCATCTTTTCATTCCAATGGTTTCATTTCAACACCACCATTTACTTTAATTAAACATTTGAGCCAAATTATAATCAAAGGGGTTTGCACAAGCCCAATTAAAGTATTCAGTTCTTGAGTGTGTTTTCATTTGAGCATAGAATCTTGGTGTGTGTGCATAAATCACTGCACAATAACATCAGAAAGCTAGATAGATTCTGTGTTCTCTACACTGGCATTTGGCCCATCTGGGTTCAGCACCCAAATGACCAGATGTTTCAAGAAATACTCAAATAACTGGAGATTACTCATAAAAATATCTGAGCCAAACAAACTGTTTTTTCCCCAAAAGCAAAAGAACAAGATCATTGCATCAGGAAAATTGCAGAAATGTGGATTTTCTTCTCTTGTAAGAGCTGGTTTTATAACATTAGTAAACCAACTTCAGTGTATAAAACAGATGGCTTTTAGATTATATAAATATTAGGTATTTTTGAAAAAATCATTCTATTTTACTTTCTTAATGACTTTAATTTAAATAAACTATAAAATTGCCTCTTATGTCTTAAATACACCACTCAAATATTTCTGTGGATTAATAAAAAGCATTCTTCTTGCATTGGATTTTGCACATTGAATGACTCTCATTTTCTGAGGATCTAATCTGGGCATTTTGGAGCTCAGCATGTATATAGGAGACAAGGAGCAAAAATAATATCAATCCTTTCTATCTTTTCCTTTTTCTCTTTATATATAAATGTTTGGTTTATAAAATGCATCAAAGAATAAAATGCATGAATGCCACAAAATGTTGCTGTAAACATACTGTTCTTTTAAATAAATATTTATTTGATTTGTATTTTGTGTATGTGTATATGGGCCAATGTGGATGAATGTCACATTGGTGCAAGTACTCATGGAGACTAGAACATTACAGTGTTATTATAACTATGGTCAACCAAGTGTAGTGTTTCACATAATCTTACTTTACCAGAATCAAAATTTTTATATAACTTACATCATTGTCTCTTCTAACATATAAATTATCATCTACATAAACACAATGCTTTATTTGGGAAATCTAGTTTGGTTTTACAGAATATGTTCATATATATAGACATGTTTACAGTACTAGGTGGGTAAAAAGATTTTCAAATAAAATTGCTTTGCTTACACCCAAACATACCAGTTACTATGCTATTGTTTACTTTTAAATTTGTTGCATAATCACATTTTTTCACAAGACTTGGCAATGCTAATAGATCATAATGTATTTAAGTGATTATTTTCAAAACCCAATTTCAATTTTTTATGAGTCATTTTTTGCTATTCATTTTAGTTAAAATATAACAAATATATGGACAATAAATACATGGATATAAACACTAAATGATTTGAAATCACAAACATACCTATCTTGAAGATAGTTTTCTTTGGGCAACACCATTTTCTGGGTAAAGGATCAGAAATCAAATGTCCTCAATAGAACAAAGGACAGATGGGAGACTTTGACTACTATTGTTTTCTGTGTTATGAGAGCAAATTACTGAAAAAAAAACATTGGGATGCAAATATGAGACTTAGTTGACACCAAGAAGAATGTCGGTTCCACTGGCATTAAGATGTGACAGGTTCCCAGAACCCACAGCAGTTGCCATCTCAGTACAGCAAGGTGTGAGAAAGACCAGAAAACTGAGAGTAACACAGAACAAATGAGTTTCCTCTGTTGCTGTAAAAATACATAGAATTTTCTTTTTTGGGTTTTTCAAGACAGGGTTTCTCTCTGTAGCTTTGGAGTCTATCCTGGCACTCGATCTGGAGACCAGCCTGGACTCGTACTCACAGAGATCCTCCTGCCTCTGCCTCCCGAGTGCTGGGAGTGATGACTACTTTTTATGCATTCCTAGAGCCCTCATCCAGTGGCTGATAGAAGCAGAGGCAGACATCCACAGATATACACTGAACTGAACTCTGGGACTTAGTTGCAGAGAGGGAGCAATGAAGATCGAAGGGGTCTGTACCAGGCTGATGAAACCCACAGAAACAGCTGGCTTGAACAAGGGGAAGCACATGGACCCCAGATGCTGTCTGGGAGGCCAGTACTGGACTGATACAAACCCTGAACATGGATGTCAATGAGGAGGCCTCTGCACTCAAGGAAGGCCCTGGTAGTGGATTAGTATTTTTCCCTGGTGTAAGAAGGGACTTTGAGAGCCCATCCCACGTGAAGGGATGCACTCTTGCCCTGGACACATGAGGAAGGGCCTAGGCCCAGCCCAGGATGATGTAGCGGACTTTGCAGAGCCCCTGTTGAGGGCCCTACCCTACCTGGGGAGTGGAGGGTGGATGGGATGGGAGTGAGTGGATGGAGAGAGAGAAGGGATTGACATGTGAAACAAGCTTGTTTCTAATCTGAACTAATAAAAATATTTTTAAAAAATACATAGAATTATCTGTGTGCAGATGTCAGTGAGGGAATGGTGGAGGAGAAATGAGAAACTTTCTATGAAATCGTTAGGTAATTTTAAAGCAATCACTCTAATAATAGTTATTAATGGCAGAATTATGTCACAATATTTACTCATTTAAAAATTATATCTTCTGGGGTTTTTTAGTGAATGATTAAGGGACCTGACTTTTCAATTTGTAGAAGACTGTATGCGTTTATGTCTATTTTCTCAACAGAAACCAATTATTAAGAATCTTACTTTATGCTTGGAGTATCCTAGCCTGAACTATATAATGTATGGTATCTGTGCCTATAGTTTATTTCTTTTTGCTTGCACCTTTATACTGCTTATATATAATGAACTCGTGTAGATGATTGATATATAATGTACACTGTCCTGAGTGGTAGATTTTAGTTTATCAGAAATATTTTCTATTTATTACTTGACATTTAAAATGTGCCAAAATAGCTAGTTATATTTTCTATTGAGAATTTGCCCAAAGTCACTACTTCTATTAGCTATTGAATTAAACCTATTAATAGACCCATTCACAGGAGGCTTCTAACATAATTACTACAAGGAATAAAGTCATCTTCTGAAGATTAAACAAGGAGTCCTAATCATTACACACTGACCCACTTGTATTCCCACTGATTTAGCATCTCTCTTGCCTGCAGTATTTTCCTTAGCTAAAGAAGAAAAGAGCAAGCTGTTTGCAGTAGATTACATCTTTGGCAGTGCTGAAACTACATGTGTCCACTATGCACCCATAAATCAGCTCCTCTTCCTGGCTACTTCCTATTGCAGTGAATAGCAATAAATATTTCCACTACACAGCAACACTGTATTTTATGGCAATTAGAATAGGTTGAACAAAGTATTTTAATAACCTGAAGGTTTTCTTGACACCAGCACCCACTGTTATTTCTCCAAATTATTTTCTTGCCTAATAAGAACATCCAAAATTAAAATCAAAATAGAGACAATCTAGACTTTTCATGTAAGCTTGTTTCTGTGGTCCTCCCATTTATCAGGACTTTTGCAAAGAAATACAATGGAGATTGTCACATGAGCCTAAACTGTGTGGATTGCAGTGTTCCTAGTAATTAAATAGATTGGCCACAGGTGACAATTGATGTAGACATGAAGACAGTAAACATTAGCATTTTACTCCTTCATTAGTGGTGCACAGGTTAAGGCATCACAGGGAAAATCAGTCACACACCTTCATGCTGTACCAGGAGGTCCCATGCATTTAATGCTAAAGTAAATTGTGATTATAATTTAAGGTGGCAAGCTCACGAAAGACCATCTTAACTTTAGTTATGTCTCCAGGAATTTCTTCTCTGTTTCACATAGCTATCAACAATGATGCTTAATCAGAATAAAATAAACGTTTAAAACTTCCTTGGATATGATTTTTCAAAACAAATAAAACATTTATTTATGAAATTCAGTGTTTAACAATTTCAATTTCATAAGAAATTCATTTATTGTGTATATTTATATAACATAAAGTTATTATTGAGGTAAATAATGAGTATAAGTGGTTCACTCCTAGAAATATTACAATTTAATTGACAAGAAATTTGGAGCAATGTAAGTATAAAGATGGTCTTCTTTGTTAGAGTATAGTTAGAAGTTGTGAGTGGTTTATTTAACATTTCTCTAAAAGCTCAGTGATTTGTTCTCGCCAGAATATCACCATATAACAATTATGTACTTCTGTCTGAGTTACTGAACTTGGCTGATGCCACATTTGCATTTTTACAATGAAGATTCTAATGGCATCTACTTAAAAGGATAGCTTTCTGGAGTTAAATTGGAGACTAAGCATAAATTTCTTAGTGCAACACTTAGCACATAGAAAGAGATCAACATAAGAGTCTATAGCTATGAACATAACACCAGAGAAAGGGGAGATTTATTTTTCAGGGTAGATATTAATCAAAGTAGTTTAAAACAGTATTTAAAATTTCATATCCTGTAGCTAAGTATCCTTAAGTGATAGTATCAAGTTATATTTTATATTATGATGTAGCATTAATTGAAATTAACAAAACTTATACTAACAACAAAAGATGTTTTCCACTAACATGGAAAACTGAAAATTCTAATTCTTTAATTGTCAAATTGTTAGTATATTTGAGCCAAGTACTGGTAAGACAAAATGAAAAGAGGACACTGGAATGCCACTGATTATACGGTGCATACAGTCTTCCCAATTGAAATCTCTTCCATTTAGATATTGAACAATGATGAAATGTGTTCTGGTTATTGACAACATGGGACCAAGTTGACTTGGGATTATCAGAAATTCTGGTGTTCTTTGGTTTGTTGGCTAACTAGAGTATTTTTGTTTGTTTGTTTGTTTGTTTTTAGTTTCTGTATTTTCCTTATATGCTCTTCCTTCTTGCCACCAGTCTGCATGAAGCAACAGGTTTTCTTTTCAAAATTGTTATTTGAAATATCCCTGCTGTAGTCAAATGTGTTCCTTTTAAAAGGATTAAAACACTTAAAAGGGAGTACCTTCCACAAACCCTGCCAAGGTATGCCACTGAAAGAACATATTCAATAGTTAGTGCAAGAAGTTTATTGGGGAACGGGGAGTACAAAAATGCTAAAGACTGTCTTCAAGTTGGGATATGAGAGAGGCAGGCAGATAGACATAGATAGACAAGAAAGCAAATTCGAGGTGAGAAAGAACTGTGATGGGCAGGTACTTTTTTAATATTTGATATTTTTTCTCTAGATATTTTAAATTTCAATTAGAAACAATCTTATTTTACATATCAATTCTAGTTCTCTCTCCCTCCCATCCTCCCATGCTTCCCACCAACTCCCCATCCCATCCTCTTTTGTTAACAAGTGAGGGTGAGGCCTTCCATGGGGGATCATCAAAGACTGTCACATCATTTGGGGCAGGGCCTAGGCCCTCTCCCATGTATCTAAGCCATGAGTAACCCTCTATGGATAATCAGCTTCCAATGCCCATTACTATACTAGAGATAAATACTGTTCCACTACCAGAGATCCCACAGACTTCCCAGGCCTCCTAACTGACACCCATGTGTAGGGAGCCTGGTTAAGACTGATAGCTGGAGACCATGAATGCCTCCCTGTTTAGGTTAGCCATTCTATAAACCTTTGCTCATCACTTCTCCCTCTCTACAACTGGATTCCAGGAGTTTGGCTCAGTGCTTAGCTGTGGGTGTCTGCTTCTATAAGGCTCCATGATGGCATATAAGTTACTCATCAATCTCATTATAGGAGAGGGCATTTCAGGTAGTCTCTCCACTATTGCTTAGATTCTTATTTGGGATCATCCTTATAAATCTCTTGATATTTCCCTAGTGCTAGATTTCTCTTTAAACCTTAAACCTATAGTGGCTCCCTCTATTAAGTTATCGCTTTACTTAGTCTCCTCTATTCTTCCCCCAATTCAATCTTCCTGCTCCCTCATGTCCTCTTCCTCTGTCCTCTTCTTCCCTTCTCTATCTCCTAACCCCCTTTCCTCTCCCCCTGTGCTTCCAATTTGCTCAGCAGATCTTCAAGGAGGACCCTAAGAAAGACATTCTGGATTCCCTGGAGAAGGGAAAAGAGACAGGCACTTTTAAAGGATGCATGTGTCACACAGCTGATGGTGGAAAGGAAAATGGCTGCAGGAGATGATATTACTGCCTCAACAATCAAGGAAGGTTGGCTGCTGCAGCAGGAAGAAAACCATCAACACTTCCTTCAAACTTCCTTCCAAAGTTCCTTCAAATTCCTCCCCAATGTTTTTGTGCCTAAAAAGACCTGGACACAAAGCCAGGTTGTGTTGAAATCACTACGCAGCGTGCCAGGAGGAATCTTTCCTTTTAGGTTTTTTCAACTCTCTCTATAAAGGAGGCCAGGTCCTCACTAGCTTTTTGAGTAATTCCTGAGACAGGATCTTCAGTGGGACTCTCCTCCAGTTTTCTCCATGTGGCTAGCCCTATTGCTTACATCTGATCCCACTACTGATCAGGAATGGCAGCCTGTTGAAGGCCGGTAAAGAACATGTCAGCAGTGCCTGAAAGCATGCAGAAGGTGATAGGGACTGGAGGCTGAGTGGCCTCCAGTAGGAACAGGGTAAAACAGAAGCATCTGTGATTGCTTCAGAGCCATTAACTCCTTCCAACTAAAGAGGTCAGAGTGGACACACATGTGAGCATCTCTGAGAATCTTCTGAGAAAAAGTAGTGGGTAGCACCTGGCCCCTAGACATGGGTATAGAATTTGTGCCTACCCCAAATCACAGCCCAAAGGCATAGAAGAAAAGATAGGGGGTGCCTCTGAAAAGTGAGGTTGCTCCTTAGGATATGTCCCCAACAAGAAATGGCAAGAAACAGTCACTTGTGCTCCTGGGCTTCCCAGGGGTACCAGTCATTGGGGTGATTGCCGCCGGGGTTAACATTTACAAGAAAGAGACTGGTCATTCCCTCCCCAGGGTTGCAGTCCCCTTAATAGGGTAGAGGTACTGAAGGAATTTGAAAAGGATTATTAGGGAGATATAATGGGGCCTTTTGGGGCCAGAGGGAGCTTCCAAAAGGCTCCAGGGAAGGATACAAGGGCTCAGGCTGGCATGAGGGACTGGGGTTTGGTTTGAACAAGAAGTGCCCCATAATTTATGGGGGTACACTCACCCGAAGACTGACTGGCCTATCAGGGTTCTTCGGTTCAAGAGAGACATGTCCCGGTTCAGATGCCACTCGGCCAGGTCCTCCAGCAGTCAGGGCTGTTGGAGGGGTGGTTCCAGCCATTCACTTCCTGGAGCTGAGCAGGATCGTGAGTGTTGATGACCCAGACCTCCCTCCTAGTAACCCGAGATAAAGACACACTGAATCTGGGGAGACTCATGGAAACAAGAGTCTTGATTTATTGTAACAACCATGCACTTACACAGAGTTAAAAAATGAGTGGGGAGCTCAGGATGGGGTGATGTGTAAGGGCCAATAATATCTCACCATGCCCCAATAGCTAGGAAGAGGGAGTTTTGCTGAGTCACTCCTATGTGCAAGTGACAGCTCAGAAACAGGTCTCCAAACTGCAGCCAGGCTCAGGAAATTCCACTAGGCCTTGTGTCTGGACCTTTTTAGGGCCAACACTATGAGCTCTGTAAAACTCTAGTGATGATTGTCATACTTCAAAAACAAAACAAAGCAAAAATCCCAAACACAGAAACAAAAACAAAGACCTTGGTCCTTTTCTAGGTTTGAGACCTCATGAGATTTCCTACAACCATGTTATCACATGTATTGATGTATTCCTTGTCTATGTAATGTTTAGGCAGCCATATCACTGAGAATTCATTGATGTCAGTTCTGGCATTTGTGAGTGGAGACACAATCTCACAGCAAACTCTCTGTTTTTCTGTCTCTTAAAATCTTAACCACCACCTCCTTCACCATAATCAGGCTCAGGAGCCTTAGGAGCATGAGTGTCATTTTACACATTCGCGCACACACAAACACACACACACACACACACACACACACACACACACACACACACACACACAAATTTTGTGAATGCAACAATGACTAAAGGAAAGAGTTACTAAATTTGAAAGAGAATAAGATATTCATGGGATGGTTTGTAGGAAGGAAAGGGAAGTGGTGTAATTATCTTATGATCTCAAGAAAAATTGAAAAAAAATAAAGCCATTCCTCTTTAAACTTGCCATAATCAGAAAGTGAGAGGAAATAACCTACAGAAAGCTTTCCATTTTTAAATGTAATTATATGCTTCCTCTTTTCCCCAAACCTAATAGGATTTAAAAAATGATGTAATATCCACAATATTGTCTCTCCTCTCAAATGGGTTAATTAAATTGTCAAAAGTTCATTTGATAACAATAATTATATTTAAATTCATATCATATCCCAGGAATTTACCTGGGGCATATCACAGAACACAGTCTTCATTGATATTTATCAGTAACTGAACAGATTTTCAAAAATACTTTTTTATTTTTTTAAGAAAACATGATTTGTTTTATTTTAAAAGAGAGTAATTTCAAGCTATGAAAGTTGTATGCGCATATTAGAATTCTTAGAAGCCACTATCACAGTGTAAAGTAATATTTGACTTATTAAAATACTTGTATATGCTCATTAAAAAAGAAGCACATATCTTGAAAAGCATATAAAAGTTGACAATAGGCAGTCCTATTTGGGAAAGAAGGATCAAATGGGCACTCTAAAAGTGAGGGCTACCTTAGTAAAGCTGATTTTATTTTCCAGGCTTTTACACCAGGAGGCACAAACCTCTCTGAGGAGGAGGAAACAATAACCTGTAGCCCCAGCTCACACCTAGATCTTCAGAGGCAGATCCAAAGTTTTGCAGGTCACTTTTGTTTCATGGACAAAGGACAACAACTGTACTTTACTTCTCTGAACTCAGTTTTCCTCAAATACTTTAAATTTCCTTGAAGACTTTTAATAAATATTATGCCACAGTGTTATAGTGGCTTCTAAGAATTCTAATATGCACATATTCAAGTAAGTTAAATAAGTTGGGTGTGAATGATTGTTGTCACAGTTTTGTTTTAAGTAAGGGAATTGAAGAAACTTATAATTTTAACAAGCCTAGGAGTGAAATACTACTAAATATGAATGAATTATATGTAAATCTGAAGTTACAGACAACTTTGGTATTTATTTCAACAATTTACCTGCTTTTAAATTAATTTTGTGAAATCATAATTTTAAGTCCAAAATTTTAATTGCTTTTATGTAATGTCAATTGCTGAATTTGAGAACAAACAATTGAGCTTAGTCTCATAATTTCTCTTACGGTTAATTACTGAATTATGAATTTGAGAACAAACAATTGAGCTTAGTCTCATAATTTCTCTTACGGTGATATTTAAACATCTCTTCCCAAAATAGCCTTAAGGCTTTTCTATGTTTTAACTTTCTTTTCTAGATTGATAAAAAAATGTATATTTTTATCATTCTGCCATTCTCCTTCCATGAAATTCAGCCAATATGGATTGTTAATTACCTTTGAAATACACTTCTACATTTCTTGCTCAATAAGAGTTAGCAATAGCAACATGTACTCCATCATAATAATGAAAATATATCAACAACTGTATGTTAATAGTGAATGGATGTTAAGCATAGGGCACTGTGTGATATGCTATTAAATGTCTGTGCATATTTATGACTCATTTTTACTGCAGACCACAACACTAAACAATATTATACGTATAAGAGATAAGGCAGAGAGACATCTGAGAAGTTGTTCCAAATCATGTGGTTAATAAAAGTCAGGATTAATAGTTAAAACAAATTTCTGATTACTGTTTAATTGATACTATCTCTATGTGTTATTTAAGAATAAAAAGTTGCAAAGTTGAACCCTGTGAGATTTGGGGATTGTGTGTCTAATTCATCATGTCATATTTCACACAGGAAACATTGTGTGATCCTTAACATGGGTTTATAGAATAAATAAATATCCAGTAAGACTCTTAAACTCCCAATCAATGAATAGACAGAGTAACTTATGACCTATGGATACAAAATCAGACTATATATTTCTGGAATCAATCTTTGTCTTTTTCTTTTAACGATTTCCTCTGACTCACCCTCATTAACAATAATATCCCAGTGCTAACATTTTTCCCTAGAGTTCTGCTTTTGATCTTGGTTTCATTTTAGGAAGATTTTAACTGCCTCATGTTTCCTACCTAACCACTCCGAGTTTATTCTCTAGTTTTTTATTCATTCATTTTTATAATGTTTGCTAGTCAGTAATAAGCTAATATTTTTCAAAACAAAACATAGAAATGACCAGTAAACTCATGAAAATATATAGTATCTTAAGTCATCATAGAAATGCAAATCCAAACCACACTGAGATACCATTGGCCTTAGTAAAAATGACTATCATCAAGACAGTAATAAATTCTGGCAAGAATGTGGACAGAATGGAACATTTCTAGCCCATTAATCGGAATGTAAATTAGTACTTCTAATATGTATGTAAATATGAATGTTCATCAAAAACCTAGAAATTGAAATATCAAATGATCCAGCTCTTTCATTTGGGGACACTTATTTGAGGAAAGCAAATACAATATATAATTGAGAAAACTGCATAGTCACATTTATTACAGCACATTTCACAAGAGCCAAGCAACACTGTTAGCCAAGGAAGTCATAAAAAATGACAATGTGACATCTGCAAGCGCATTTACATCTATGAGTTGGATATTACTCAGCTGTTAATAAGAATAAAAGATTGTAATTTCTAAGAATAAGGAATTCAATGGGAGATCTACGAAAGCAAACCAAGCCAGACTCAGAAAGAATACATTGCAGGTTGTCTTTCATTACTGGGATCTGGACTTTAAAAATAAGTGGAGATACTGGGGAAGACTCTTTATCATGCTCTCAGTATTCCTTAGTTGCCTTCAGTTCTTTGTGTAGAATGTATTTTTTTCCTGACCAAGTTAGAATATCTATTATTGTTGTCTTTGTTCAACTCATGTTTGGTCAGTCATGTTGGTGAGACTTTATAAGTGTTGCTTCTGAAACATATATACATTATACAAACCAGCAAGGTATATTTAGGAATATATATGCATACACATATATATTTATGCATCTAACACAATTAATTAAAGTAGAGAACTTAAATTTAAAAGAGAACTAGGGGTTGGGCATTGGTGGCATACACCTTTAATCCCAGCACTCTGGAGGCAGAGGCAGGCAGATTGTCCGATCCTGTTGGTTTGAGACCAGCCTACTCTACTTCCAGGACAGCCTTCAAATCCACAGAGAAACCCTGTCTCAGAAAAACCAAACAGAGAGAGAGAGAGAGAGAGAGAGAGAGAGAGAGAGAACTAAGGGTATAAGGGAAGGGAAATGAAGAATAACTATAATCTCTAAATACAAAAAAATAAAAATAAATTAAAAATATTAAATAAATTAAATTAAAATTAATTTTAAATAAATAAAATTAATATAAATAAAATTAAAATAAAATTAAATAAATAAATTAATTAAAATTAAAATTTATTAAAAATAAATTAAAAATAAAAATATAAAGATGAAAGTAGACATTCTTTGTCATGCTGTCATTATAAGAAAAAAAATATTCTCTGTTAAGTGTTGAATCTTTCTACTATATTGCTGCTGATGTGACCATAAAAAAAATTGGGAAGGAGGATTACTTGGCCATGTCTTATTGGTTATGAAAGTGAATAATTAAGAAGAAACAGAGACAGAATCTCTAGCTTGTGTCTAGAAGAGTACATATATATGAACTGTTATCCCATCATCAGACTGGGATGCATACAACTGATCTGTTATCCCATCATCAGACTGGGATGCATACAAGTAGAATCATGGTAGGAAAGAGTGAAGATAAAAATAAAAAATGACGTGGTAGAGGACAGTGACAAATCCACTTACCGTATTTGCCTCTTTTTTAAAAAAAAACCACAACCATTAACAAGGTGTAATACAAAAGAAAATTAAATTTAGAAATAAAAACATACTTTAGAGATCCCCCATGCAGTGCCTCACTCTCCCTGGGGAGTAGATGGGGGATGGTTTGGAGGCTTGTGGGGGTTGGTGGGAGGCAGGGGAGGAGGGGAGGAAGAAGAAGCTGGGATTGTCATGTGAAGCAAGCTTGTTACAATTCAAATAAAAAATAAATTAATTTTTAAAAAATCAAACTAATACTCCTTCTCACTTTGTCCTTTTATAGACAAAGGCTAAATTGATGGTCCTATTTGGGAGATGTGTAGACGCTGATGGGAATAAAAAGGACAATGTTCAGTTGCATATTTTCCATGTGTTTCTGTTGCTGAACATACTGTATATCTTAAAACAGCCATGTATCTTTAAATACACAATCTGTACAATGCCAAGGCCCTTAAAGATTCTGGGAACATTTCGAAAAAGAAGC